TAGGGTTATTCTTAAAACTAGCCCTGTTGTAAACAAACCCTTGTCCCAGTTCCCATCTAACCCCGTGTGATGTTCTTGAAATGGGCCCCAAACATATCCCAACCCTAATGTTGGGCCTACATGTCATATTTTCCTAACCCTAACCCTAACCCTAACCCTAACCCTAAGAACAACCCAACCCTTAGAGGTTATTCTTAATAAATTATTAAATTTTATTAATAAAAAATAAATAATAATAATTATATTTAAATTATAAAAAATTAAATTAAGTAAAATTTTAATAATTTAATTAATAATAATAATAATAATTTTTTAATTAATAATTAATTAATTTAAATAATTTAAATTTAATTTTAATTAAATAATTAAGATAATTATTAATAATTTTAATAAATTAAATAATTAATAATTTGTATATTAAATAATTTAAATTAATTCTAAATTCTTAACTTAATTTAAGATTTTAAATCTTAATTAATTTAATTAATTTAATTTAATTAATTAATTAATAATAAATTTTAAAAAAAAAAAAAATAATACTTTAATTTTTATTAAAATAATTTAAATTATTTTTTTTCTCTTTTTTTCTTCCTTTTTTTTTTCTTTTCGTTTTTGTTATTTACACCCATTTTCTTCCTCTTCCTTTCCTTTCTTTTTTTCTTTTTCTTTTTAAAATTTGAATAAAATTTTTTTATAAATTTTAATTTTATAAACTTTTAAAAAAAAAAAAAAAAAATTTAATAAAATTTAATTTGTCTCCTTTTTACTTTTAAATTAATATAATAATAATTTTTCTTTTTATATAAAATTTTAAAATTAATAATTAAAAATAATTTTTTAATAATAATTAATTTAATAAAATAATTAAATTTAGATAATTTATAAATAATAACTTATTAATAATAATATAATTAATAATAAACTAATAATAAATTAATAATTAAATTTTCAATTTATTTAATATAATAATTAATTTATAATTAATAATAATTTAAAAATAAATTTAATAATAAAAAAACAAAAAAAAATAAAATAATAATTATTTTAATATAAAATAAAAAAAAAATTTTAATTTCTAATAATTAATAATATAATAATAAAAATAATAATTAATATTAATAATAATAAAATAATTATATTAATAATAAAAAAAAAACACAGCCCTGTTTGTAAACATAACCCTTGTCCCAGTTCTAACCCCGTGTGATGTTCTTGAAATGGGCCCCAAACATAATCCCAACCCTAATGTTGGGCCTACATGTCATCATTTTCCTAACCCTAACCCTAACCCTAACCCTAATGAACAACCCTAACCCTAGGGTTATTCTTAAAACTAGCCCTGTTTGTAAACATAACCCTTGTCCCAGTTCTAACCCCGTGTGATGTTCTTGAAATGGGCCCCAAACATAATCCCAACCCTAATGTTGGGCCTACATGTCATCATTTTCCTAACCCTAACCCTAACCCTAACCCTAACCCTAACCCTAATGAACAACCCTAACCCTAGGGTTATTCTTAAAACTAGCCCTGTTTGTGAACATAACCCTTGTCCCAGTTCTAACCCCGTGTGATGTTCTTGAAATAGGCCCCAAACATAATCCCAACCCTAATGTTGGGCCTACATGTCATCATTTTCCTAACCCTAACCCTAACCCTAACCCTAACCCTAATGAACAACCCTAACCCTAGGGTTATTCTTAAAACTAGCCCTGTTTGTAAACATAACCCTTGTCCCAGTTCTAACCCCGTGTGATGTTCTTGAAATGGGCCCCAAACATAATCCCAACCCTAATGTTGGGCCTACATGTCATCATTTTCCTAACCCTAACCCTAACCCTAACCCTAACCCTAATGAACAACCCTAACCCTAGGGTTATTCTTAAAACTAGCCCTGTTTGTAAACATAACCCTTGTCCCAGTTCTAACCCCGTGTGATGTTCTTGAAATGGGCCCCAAACATAATCCCAACCCTAATGTTGGGCCTACATGTCATCATTTTCCTAACCCTAACCCTAACCCTAACCCTAACCCTAATGAACAACCCTAACCCTAGGGTTATTCTTAAAACTAGCCCTGTTTGTAAACATAACCCTTGTCCCAGTTCTAACCCCGTGTGATGTTCTTGAAATGGGCCCCAAACATAATCCCAACCCTAAAGTTGGGCCTACATCTCACCCCTAGGGTTAGTTTTGTTCATTAGGGTAGGATTAGGGTTAGGGTTAGGAAAATGATGACATGTAGGCCCAACATTAGGGTTGGGATTATGTTTGGGGCCCATTTCAAGAACATCACACGGGGTTAGAACTGGGACAAGGGTTATGTTTACAAACAGGGCTAGTTTTAAGAATAACCCTAGGGTTAGGGTTGTTCATTAGGGTTAGGGTTAGAGTTAGGAAAATGATGACATGTAGGCCCAACATTAGGGTTGGGATTATGTTTGGGGCCCATTTCAAGAACATCACACGGGGTTAGAACTGGGACAAGGGTTATGTTTACAAACAGGGCTAGTTTTAAGAATAACCCTAGGGTTAGGGTTGTTCATTAGGGTTAGGGTTAGGGTTAGGGTTAGGGTTAGGAAAATGATGACATGTAGGCCCAACATTAGGGTTGGGATTATGTTTGGGGCCCATTTCAAGAATCACACATGGGGTTAGAACTGGGACAAGGGTTATGTTTACAAACAGGGCTAGTTTTAAGAATAACCCTAGGGTTAGGATTGTTCATTAGGTTGAGGGTTAGGGTTAGGGTTAGGAAAATGATGACATGTAGGCCCAACATTAGGGTTGGGATTTTGTTTGGGGCCCATTTCAAGAACATCACACGGGGTTAGAACTGGGACAAGGGTTATGTTTACAAACAGGGCTAGTTTTAAGAATAACCCTAGGGTTAGGGTTGTTCATTAGGGTTAGGGTTAGGGTTAGAGTTAGGAAAATGATGACCTGTAGGCCCAACATTAGGGTTGGGATTTTGTTTGGGGCCCATTTCAAGAACATCACACGGGGTTAGAACTGGGACAAGGGTTATGTTTACAAACAGGGCTAGTTTTAAGAATAACCCTAGGATTAGGGTTAGGGTTAGGGTTAGTATCCTATCCCTAATTTTACAAGTCTTCTTTATGGACTTATGTATTTCATAATTTTTTTTGTAATTTCAATTTTTTTACGTAAATATTACTCATGGTTATGTATTCAGGAGAAAACGGTTCTGGCCTAGCATTGGCCAAGACTAAAAATCTTGTAATTTATGATAAAAAATTATTTCACATTAATATGTTCAAAATATTAAAATTATGTATATTTTCTGTGTTCAACAAGACTTGTTGTAGTACCACTTTTTTGCCACCAGTGGCATGTTTTCCACATTTTACACATAATTTATGAACAAGTAAATTTGCAGAATTTTGCTTAAAAACATATTTATTACCCTAACCGCGATTCAGACATAGAACATTTCTGTAAATTGTCTGTATAGATAGAACAATTTTGTCATTTTGCTATGTCAACAGAACTTTTCTGTACATTTTCCACATATATATGTAGAACTTTAAAATAATTTGAAACTTGGGTAACAGTGAGTATGCTCCACTGCACTTCAGATCCTTTCCCTAATTCAGACATAACCCTAACCCTAACCCTAACTGAAACATAGCACATTTCTGTAAATTTTCTACATGGACATGTAGAACATTGAAATAATTTGACACTTGGGTAACAGTGATGTATGCCCCACTTAAGATCTTCAGTTTATAATCCTAAGCTTAATTCACACATGGAACATTTCTGTAAATTTTCTGTATAGTACAACAATTTTGTCATTTTCTTATGTCGACAGAACATTTCTGTAAATGTTCTGTTTAGATAGAACAATTTTTTAAATTTTCTATGTCGACAGAACTTTTCTGTAAATTTTTTTACATGGACATGTAGAATTTTAAAATAATTTGAAACTCGGGTAACAGTGATGTATGCCCCACTTCAGATCTTCAGTATATAACCCTAACCTTAATTCAGACATGGAACATTTCTGTAAATTTTCTGTATAGTAGAACAATTTTGTCATTTTCCTATGTCGACAGAACTTTTCTGTAAATGTTCTATTTAGATCGAACAATTTTGTAATTTTCCTATGTCGACAGAATATTTCTGTAAATTTTCTACATAGACTTGTAGAACTTTAAAATAATTTGAAACTTGGGTAACAGTGAGTAAGCCCCACTACACATAATTCAGACATAACCCTAACCCTAATCCTAACTGAGACATAGCACGTCTGTAAATTTTCTACATGGACATGTAGAACTTTAAAATAATTTGAAACTTGGGTAACAGTGAGTATGGTCCACTGAACTTCAGATCTACCCTAACCTTAATTCAGACACAGAACATTTCTGTCAATTTTCTGTATTGATAGAACAATTTTGTCATTTTCCCATGTCGACAGAACCTTTCTGTAAATGTTCTGGGTAGATAGAACAATTTTTATGATTTTTATATATATCAACATTCAAACATTTTGTAAATTTTGTATGTGGACATAGAACATTTCTGTAAAATTTCTAGAAACTAGAAAGTTAACATAATTTTTCTATGTCCATAGAAACCCACATACCTCCAAGACCCCCCTTTTCCCCTACCGACCTCCCCTAACTCCCTTGCCTGGGCATGCTCGGATTCCCAACTCTGACCCATCCGGGGCTAAGGGCCTCCAGGAACCTTGCGCACCATCTGAACCCTTCTGGCCCACATTTAAGCACCCCCCACAATAAACCCCTTAATACTGCCGCTACAGAGA